TTTTAATAGAACGATACAGAAATCTTTTGCGTCCGTCAATGGCTTGCGCAATTTCACTCACGATTTACTCTCAAACACATCACATTGGCAAAAAGCAGTCTGCATTTCACTAGGGGGAACAACGATGAATGGATTTCCACTCGATCGTAACAATACATTAATTATATTTAGTTCTTTGAATTTTTATTGGTATTTATCAAATGCAAATGCCTGCTAAACTATTAATTTATCCGTCATATAGCTCTATCTTCCAAAATGACACTAATATATATATATAATATAATTAATACTTTTAGATGAATATTAAAGTAAGTATTTCTCTTGTATATGAATTAACTTTGAAATTTATTTTGACATAGTTATAAGAATGAATAGCTACTTGTATATCTGTTTTAAATAGTATCATTCTATTAATTATAAATATTTAACATTTATTTTCGATTATTGATATATTAATAATCGATATATTGATATATTAATAATCGACTAATTGTAAATATCATTAGCATGATATTATGTGAGAAATAGAAAATAATCTGAGACGGTGATAAAAAGTAGTTTTATTTCAGTTTTATTTCAGTATTTTTCTAGTATTTTTTTCAATATTTTTTTATAGAATTTATATTGGAATACACAAGTAGTTAGTCGCGAACATTAAATATAGCAACATCGCCTTGTTAATTGTGTATAATATTAAAAATATTTATTCTCTAAAATTATTAATATATATAAATTTTAATATTATTCAAAAATTATATATTTATGAACATTTTCAAAACATTTGAAGTAACAATTGTTTCACTGTTTATAAATAAACGTTATTAAACAAAAAGAAGAAATTGAAAAGTTCTTCTTTTTATGAGATTTAAATACTTGTTGTAATTAATTCGTTGTCAGTTTAATAAATAGAAAGATAAATATGTTATTTCACTTTTCAAGTACTTTAAACGTAATTAAATATGATAATATATTTTTTTTAATGCTTTATTTAACAGATTGAAATATAGAGCGTTCAAAAAATTAGAAGAGAAGTTTTTTGAAAAACTTTTGCGTTGAAATTGAAAAATTAAGGAGTGACAAATCAAACATAAAAAAACAAATCAAATATAAAAAATGGGACTGTGGAAAAATAGTGGAAATATTACTGAAGAATTTGATCAACAAAATCGGTCTCCAGACAAACGGCTTAGAATGGCTCAAGTATCACGCGAAAACAGCATCGTTTGTTAAATGTGTCTATCGTGATCATTGTCGAAATGTAAGGGTGTATTCGTCCACATCCGTATGAATGCGTTTGTCTGCGATCCGACGAAAGCACGGCAGTTCTGGCCGGCTGGCAGCAACAATAGCATGCATTAACCTTTGTGCAGTTGTATAACTGCAGTTGCGAGATAGTGACTCTTTGATGGGGGGGGGGGAGGGACGGCGCAGGGTAGTCAGAGTTACTCCGACCGGCTGGTACTCTCCAGGCATTTACAACCATTTCGCGTAATCTCAACGAATACATCCATCGGCCACTCCAGCGATGCTGAGTGGACGAGCCAATTATTGTCTCGGGTCTTCACTCACAGCTCGCTCGAATTTACGATGTACAGTCATCAACAACAAATCGCGGAGTATCGCTTGATTTTTCTCTTCACAAGATCCTGATGTTTAAGTGCATGATATTAAACTAATGGCTAGTTTCGAAATTTTTCAATAAATTTGTTTAAAAAAAAAAAAGAAGAAAACATAATAATCATATTGCTGCAATGCTGATTTTTAAAATTCTGAACATTTAATTAAAATAAGATAAGATAATATTTATATCATAAAATATTTTATTCTAAATTTAATTTAAATTTTGCATCAATCTAATATATAATCTTCAGATTTAATTTTATTATATTGCCATTTCTATGACTAATTAATTATTAAATTATATTTTAAAATTTCAAAACGTTTAAACATTTAAACCAAGACTGTAGTCTCGCAACGATGATAACACAGGTAAAAGTTATAACACTCTCGTAATCCTAATTGAATTTAAGTAATCAAAGTGGAAGACCGGGATACGTGTGTATTCTGGAAGATCATAGTAATATTCTCCAGTTTTCGATTACGCAAGTCTGCGGGTGTATTCAAGACGAATGGCACCTAACTTATTGGGTTAGCCTTGAGATCGATGAACCGGAAGATCGCAAAGATGGCAAATAGGGGTCTACTTTGACATCGTCCCATTAGCACCGAATAAAAATGGGAATCGCAGATCTTGGTACCCGCGTATACGAAGGGTGCGCGATTCTGCCGGTAATTGCGTTTCGTCCTTAGATGACGTCGACAATTTTCAGCGGCGACGTCCGGACGTTTTGCGCCTGCCTTTGCGAAAGCCTTTGATGCACGAGTAACGGAAATCATGACGTAATATACGGATATAAATCTATTGAAAAATTTCTTGTGGAAATAGAGAAAGAGAATTTAAAACATTATCATAACGAGAATATTATATTATAACTAAAATATTACAAGGCGTGCGCTATTTATTTATTGTTTAACGTTATATATTTTTATATAAAAGCAAGCATCGAAGTGAGTAAAAACGTGATTGATAAAGATTTTTATACATACGTGCGATTACTTGTAATTATGGAGGGGAAAGGGGAATGATAAAATGATAAATGATAAAATCTATGTCTTCAACATAGATTTCTAAATGTTGAATTTTTTTTCTTGGTAAATTTACATTTCTCATTCGATTGCGGTTAAAAACCTCGCTAAAATAGTCGGAATTTGGTTAAATAAACTATGAGAAAATTCACGGGTAGGTAGAAATAATATTATACTATAATATTATAAAATTCGCGGTAAAACATTATGAAAATTTGGATGGGTAAAAATTTGGGAAAGAATTGAAGCAAATAGGAAAATATAATTTAATAATTAAAAGCTCTCTAATA